TCTCCGCGACAAAGGGGCTTTCCTATGGAGTCTGGACCAAACTTCTTGGAATCCTACCAGCAGAAAATGAGAGTCAAGAGTCACAGAATCACAGAATCACAGAATGGTCGGGGTTGGAAGGGACCTCTGTGGGTCATCTAGTCCAACCCCCCTGCTGAAGCAGGGTCACCTGCAGCAGGCTGCACAGGACCTTGTCCAGTCGATCCCGCTTGGTCCCAGAGAAAGAGAAGGCTGCCAGGTATAAAACCCCAGGCTGGTTAGCACTTCTGTGCTAGAGCCGTCTTCCAAAAGCAGAGTCATTACTGCTTCGTACTGGCTCGAAACAGGAGGCAACAGCAAAAAAAAACATCCTGCGGGCGACGGGACCGCGACGAAGCTGTTCAGTTCCGGCATCGGCCCGGCGCGGGGCTCCGTCGGGGCAATTAGCAGCACCGCTGTCAGCCTTCATCTGCGGGCTGACGGGCAGCGCGGAATCCGAGTCGCAGCCCACAGGAAGCACAACCAGCGAGCCCATATCGCTTTGACAGTTGCACTCATCTAGAAATAATGCAAAACGCTATTTAGATGTATACATCGCGACCCCTGCGCTCTAGGAAGAAAACAATCTAATGAGGGGCTGGGAGACTTGCTCGCAGAAAACAGGCAGCGAAGAGGTTGTTGGTAGCCGTGTTTTCGCTCAGTTTATGACTGGGGGTTGGCCAGGGGCAGGAGTCCTCTTTTTTCCAGAAGTTTGAGCTCTTCCGTGAGTTTGGTCTTTTTTTTCAGGACTTCCACGAAATCCACGAGTTCCACGATTGCTGCTCAGGGACAGGCTGCCAATCGGTCATCAGGCGGAGAGTTTTGGGTTTTTTCTTTTTTTTTCCTCTTTTTTTTTTTTCTTTTTCTCCTCCCCTGCCCTGCTTTTACAAATCTTCGTATTTTATCCTGTTGGAGCGTCGCGTCGGGGTTGGTTTCACCGAGCTGTTCTTTGCCTCCACCGCCTCATTGAAGAACTTGAAGATGGACGGAAAACTCTTCCAGGAGGTTAATTCATGGCGCTCCGTACCTGGAAAATACAAAGGTGACAGCGTGACCAGGGGTCGTTTGGCTGCTGCCGACCCCATTAACAGAATCCCAGAATCCCAGAATCCCAGCATGGCAGGGGTTGGAAGGGATCTCTGTGGATCACCCAGCCCAACCCCGCTGCCGAAGGCCCATTGGCCCTTGTCCTGTCGCTGGGCACCACTGGAAAGAGTCTGGCCCTGTCCTCCTGACACCCACCCTGCAGATATTTATAAACATTTCTAAGGTCCCCTCTCAGCCTTCTCTTCTCCAGGCTGAACAAGCCCACCTCCCTCAGCCTTTCCTCGTAGGAGAGATGCTCCAGTCCCCTCACCATCCTCGTAGCCCTCCGCTGGACTCTCTCCAGTAGCTCCTCATCTTTCTTGAACTGGGGAGCCCAGAACTGGACACAGCACTCCAGATGAGGCCTCACCAGGGCAGTGTAGAGGGGAAGGAGAACCTCCCTCGTCCTGCTGGCCACACTCTTCTTGATGCACCCCAGGATCCCATTGGCCTTCTTGGCAACCAGGGCACACTGCTGGCTCATGGTCAGCTTGTTGTCCCCCAGCACACCCAGGTCCCTCTCAGCAGAGCTGCTCTCCAGCAAAAGCCAGGGAGGCCGTGAAGAGCGTGGGTCTTGGGGCAGCTGGGCAGAAACGACCGCACAGATGGATGGATGGATGGACAGACAGACATGCTCAGCCACCCAGACCAGAGATCCTGAACACATCCCGGGCCTGGGCGAGTGAGACCCCAGAGCGTCTCCTTACAGCACCTCACCTGTTCCGCCTAGCTTGGAAAAGAGAAGTTCCTACTTTTCAGGGCTGGTGCACTCCGCACTGTTTCATTTTTACGTTGCTTTTAGCCTGGCGTATGTATTTTTAACCGAAAGAGAACACCTGACCTGAACGACAACCAATGCACCGCGAAGGTATCCCCCATGAACCCCTTCCCAACAAACCCATACACGACACCAAGGTGGTAAAGTGGACCTTCCCCGCTTGTCTCTTCCCTCGGCATACAGATTCACCTCTATCTATTCTTCTTCTGGTGGACACATCTATTGTTTTACAAGTGCCTCCTCCAGCGCACAGCGCATTCGCTTTACTTCAGAATCACAGAATCACAGAATGGTTGGGGTTGGAAGGGACCTCTGTGGATCACCCAGTCCAACCCTCCTGCCGAAGCAGGGTCACCTACAGCACACTGCAGAGGACCTTGTCCAGGCGGGGTTTGAATATCTCCAGAGAAGGAGACTCCACAGCCTCACTGGGCAGCCTGGGCCAGGGCTCCGTCACCCTCAGAGGGAAGAAGTTCTTCCTCGGGTTCAGCTGGAGCTTCCTCTGCTTCAGTTTGTGCCCATTGCCCCTTGTCCTGTCGCTGGGCACCACTGAAAAGAGTTTGGCCCCATCCTCCTGACACCCACCCTGCAGGTATTTAGAGGCATTTATTAGGTCCCCTCGCAGCCTTCTCTTCTTCAGGCTGAACAAGCCCAGCTCCCTCAGCCTCTCCTCATAGGGGAGATGTTCCAGTCCCCTCACCATCCTTGTAGCCTACTTCAACAGAAAAATAAAAACCAACCCAACAAAACCCCACGACGACGCCCCAAAACAAAACCAAGGCGATGGAGATAGGGAGCCAAGGGCCGCGAAAGAGTTGGGACCTCTTCCTGGGTAACCCAATTACGCGGAGATGCCGCCTGGAAGCCTCTGGATCCCGGGCCTCCTGTTTGATACTTTAACATTGTTAATGATAATTCTTTAGTCTGTAATAGTAGGTCATTGCTATGGTTACTCTACAATGGTGCAACACTTCGCTTTCCCCTTCAGCTATTCGCTGAGACCCGGTAACCACATTTGTTGCCTAGCAACAGTTTTTGTGACAGTATCACAATCTGGGGGTGACAACAATGAAGGACACGGTGGCCGTGGCCTGCCCGGAGGAGAGGGATGCTGCATGAGGCGGCTGACGGTCCCCAGGGATGCTGGGCAGCCGATGGTCCCCAGGGATGCGGAGTGGCCAATGGTCCCCAGGGGTGCAGGGCAGCCAAT